TAGGAGACCGTTTGACACATTCTTTTCAATCCGATAGGCAATGGCGCCTTACTATTAATCTATTAAGACCTATGCTGCTCTGCTCGAAAACAATTCCTACTCTCATAGACCTGAAGTCCGACATCTCAAACGCCTTTAACTAGTGGTCCAGTAAAGCAATGGAGACTTCTAAATGTACAAATTCCACCCTTCAACACATATCTAAAAAGCTCCAACATTTGAAAGCTTTGACAGTACAGCTGAAAAATCCTAGAAGTGGTAATCAGCATCCACTTTTTAAACTGCAATCGTTTCCGAACATTCTTAACTCTTTCCCTTATAGAAAAATTATCCTATTGCATTGCTTCATGTTGCGTTATGTTGTTAAGCTAGCATGAAGTGTTTTACAGTGAAAGGTCTGAGTAACTGTTGCTCTATAGACTAGGAATGGAACTACTACGACTGGAGTTGTCATTGGTAAACGTATAGACTCCCTTAGTTGGTGATATATAGATGTCATCCTCCTACAGGTGTTATACTGTACTAGAGACTCTGCAAATAGGAACATCTAGAGGAATTCAGCTTTTGATCTTTACTATGCAACAACTTCATTGATTGCCATCTGGTGCAAGCGTTCCAAGTGAGCTGGCTGCTGATGATGGAATGTGCTTTGTAATGCGTGAGAAACGGGCATGGTATTAACCTCCTTGATAGCCACAAACTTTCAATTAGCTATTGCGCTTGAATTAACTTTGTAAAAGCGGAAATTCGGGGCTTATAGTTAAATTACCCGTTGTGGAATTTCCTTTCTCTAGAAAGCATGCAACTATGACTTCATCAATGTCTACAGTGGACCGCAGCACAATCAGCAGAAGATTGGGACATTTTGTGGCAACACGCTCCCAGCTCCAATCACTTCTCATACGAACGAATTAAATATTGAATTTTACACTGACGGCTCTGTTCAGCGAACTGGATTCAGGGCTGTCTTCTTCACGGACCTTGATGAATGTGCGGATAATAATGGCGGCTGTCAACACATTTGTCGAAATACCATCGGATCATACTACTGTGAGTGCAGACCAGGCTACAAGGTGTATGGCAGATTCAACTGCAAGGAAAGTGAGTACTCCCGCTTTGTCCTTTTCTGAAGCTCTAGTTTTGCGATTCATTCCTAGAAATGTCATTAAGTCTTGACAAAAACCGGTTGTCGGGTTTTTAATGGGTTGAGAGGCTAGTAACAAAGGCAGTGTAGGAATGGCTGCAAGTCATCAAAGTGGCAGCTGATTTGGGTTATAGCTTATGTAATACAGAAATCTGTCATATGTAATAAATTTCTCCTTTGGTGTTGTCTTGAACATGGAAATCATTCCAGACTTAGCCACTTAATAGGGATCTAGTGGAGTTGTGATGAACGCACACTCATGGGTTTCGTCCCATCGCTATTTCGGAGCTACGCAGTCACATGGATCTCTTCACGATTCTTGGAATTAGGACAGTACCAAACGAGTGTTTTAAGTGACCCTCCAAGATCCAGACTTGAAAATGAAATGATTGTCAAAAGTCTCCAATCGTCTCTACAGGATTAGTTGGTTCCGTTACTGACACCCCACTGTAGTTTTT